CCCCAAAACCCCAAAACCCCAAAACCCCAAAACCCCTCATGGATAATTCTATATTGATCAATTTTTATTGAGAATTAATAAAAGGGGATACGAGGCAGAGTACCACTTTTAGCAGAAGGATTGACATTGCTTTACCTGGACACCCTCTATCTCCTACTCCAAAGGGAATAAATGACTCTCCAAATCGTCTTGTGTTACTAGCAGGGCGAAGGAAGTAATCACTCTCAGGATCAAACCGTTCTGGTAAGAACTTCTTAGGAGAATGCCATTCTAACGAGTCATAGTGCAAAGATGAGAAATTTATACGAATCAATGAGTCTGCTGGAATCGGCACTTTTCATACAGTAAAATTTTCTATGACTTTGTATAGTAAAGATCCATCTGCTGGGCAATGAAGTCTTAATGTTTCGTTAACAACATAGTGCAAATACTGGCTGGCTTGGATAGCTCTTAAAAATTCCTTAGGCTGGTATTTCCCAATCAGAGTAATTTTCTAAAGATAATAAAGAGTTCTTACATCTTTGATAGATATTTCCTTCTCTTCTTCAAAATATCTTTCAATATTTTCAATTTCTGAGTCGAAAGTGTTGTTAAGGTCCTGTAGTAGTTCCTGACAGATTTCATCATTATCTTTTAACTCCTTGATAGCACTAATAAGAGTTGGGCATAGAGTGATGAAAGCTAGATGCAAGCAGGAAAGCACTTCATCTGTGATCTCTTCCTTAGTGAACTTTCCCATTTTTAATATTTTCTGGAAAATGCTGGACTCGTCTGGCTCTTTGTAGCTCACTAATGAATAAACTGCTCTTCTAATATTATCAAGCTTGTCTCCAGGTCCTCTATAGAAATTTATAAATGAAAGTACTCTGAAATAGTAGCTGTGAACGGATTCATGCTGTCTTTTGTTGTGTCTAGAATTAATTCCAATCTGCATACCGATATAATAGTCAACAAAGCTGAAATTTCCATTGGAATCCATGTTAGAATTGAGTACTTGAGCAGTGCTGTTTAGAGTCTAGAATTAAAGCCAGGGTTTTACTTCTCCTTCATCTTGAATACTCTCAATTTTCTTTTCAAAGTTCTTGCCTAAGAATAGAGATCCAAGGATCTGAAAAATAGTTCTTCTAAATTCTTTTTCCCAATTCTCAGTGAAATATCCTGCTTTGATCTCTTTTACTAGTTTGTTGGATATCAGAGGAAGCTTAGAAGTCAGATCAGCGATCCCACAAGTCTTGATTATTCTTGTCCTCATCTTGAAAGAGGTGTTCTTAGTCTCCCTGCAAGGAAGTGAGTTCTTTGATAGCATTCCAAGATAGAATGTGTCTGGAACAAATCTATCAATTTTGTCCTGAATCAGACTTTGAAATAACTACAGCGATAAGTAATACATGAAATACCCTCATATTGATATTCTTTATATCAAACAGCATGTATTTGTAGCCAGGCAAGGAGTGGATATAGTCCTTGCCAATATGCATCATTTGAATATCATAGGACTTCTCTTCTTCTGGGACTCTTCTTGATGCTAAAGAAAGCCTGTTTACTATACTTTCATCTGGGATAGTAAGCAAATCTTCAGTCTCTTCACCTATTATATCATCCACAGAGCTTACTTGTATGCACAATTTTGACATTTTCATACCTAGTATACCTCCACCGATTCAAAAGAGGTTTGATGAAAACCTTGTATGTAAGAAAGCACAGCATCATAGACAATATCACTATAAGCTGTGGTTAACAGTCAAAACGTTTATCAATCTTACCGAATAGGTACTTTCCCAAGAAAAAAATCCATGCAAACATTTTCAAAATATTATTTCAATTTTTAAATTACATGATGGGGTTTTGGGGTTTTGGGGTTTTGGGG